ACAATTATTTGATTTATCAACAAAATTTTGATAACTTAATACATCTGTATAAGCAGTTGCAACTAAAACTGAAAGAGCGTCAAATGGGCATGTATTTTGTACCAAATACCTTTTTTTTGATACAATTACTGGTGTAGACAAGTTTCCATTTATTAGCAGACTGTTTAACGTTGAACGAGTTTTCATAGTTGACAAAATGAGCTCAATATCTTTTTTTGGACCCATATATTTTGTATGCCTCGGTTTCATTAAAATAGATTTTTTTTTCGGAAATAACTCTTTCACAATACCTTTTCCTTTCCAGTTTTCACATGCAGTTATTGATGTATCAGAGACATCACTGGATATTTCATTATCATGTTCTGTCTTAATATTTTGAATTGATTTGTCGTTAAATTCAATCGAGGAGTTCAAATGGTTATCTATACATTTTTCGTCATCATTTGAATACGTATTTTCATTCCCAAAAAGTTCATCGCACTGGAAATCTAAGTTTGGTGATTTTGATTCAGGAGATGACTCATATCTAAGCTCCTTACTTTTAAAAAGTTTCACATTACTGTCAATACTTGTAAGATGTTTAAAAATAAATTTGTCAGCTCTCATAGGACGAACATCGAATTTTAAAATTTGAGTTTTTAGCTCTTTGAAATCGTTCTCAACCGATGCCGATGATGCCATACGATATGGAGACTGAAACAAATTACTTAAAACATTTGTCCACAGAGGGAAATGTTTGCATAGCCTCATTGTATCTGGTAATAAATCTTTTAAAAAATATGCTGATATTCTGTTGCCTACTATTGAAGAGTTCTTTATGCTTTTTTGCTTTATATTTTCTAAAAATATTTGTAAATGCGAGTCTTCATTTTCATCGTTATCAATGTAATTATCAAAATCTGATAGTAATTCGGGGCTGGAGTTATTTTCGTTCTCTAATTCATCAACATGAACACCTTTTATTAGTTCTAATATATACAATCTAGCTGTCTCCGAAGGTGTTTCAATGTTGTTTGACCACCCATCGGTTTCGCTCAGCATTACGGTCAAAACAGCTTCTAATATAGTTTCAAATGTTTTAATGTCTTCTGAAGTCATGAGAAGTCGAAATCCTCGGACATAAAATTCTTTTAAATATTTATTTTTCACTCCGGTCAAACACTTTATGCGGCAGAATATTTTTACCATGTGAGCTACATCCAATCTAATATAAGTAGCTGGGATTTTTTTTTCAACGCTAATTAATAATCTAAATGCATAATTTACGTAATCGTTCAGACCTACTCCGTTACAAAATGATCTGGATATTGCCGCTAGCAATGCTCGAGAATAATCGCAAACTACTTCATTCGGAGGTCTGATACCAGACGACATCCAAACTGCTATCCATTGAAAAATAGATAATGTATCGTGTTTTTCTGATACCATTTGGGTAACAGAGATATGTCCAAAAGGAGTACTAACTATACCTTCGTATAAAAATATATTTGCCGATAACAAACCCAAAGACGTTCGTTTAATCTTTTTCGTAAATCCACCAGATGCATCAACAGATAATTTACAATACCCTTTACATATATCTTTATATATACTGATCTGGTGATTTGTCCAATAGTGTACATAAAATGGATCAATTCCAATTGAATGTATTGACCCTGAGTAACTAGAATTGTGTTTGAATTCTATAAGTGACTGTATTGGACAGTTATAATTTATACCTAATCTCTTGTCCTTACCCTCTTGCTTAACCTTTCGCAATGTTTCTAATTGGTACAAATTGGGTGGTGAAATTCTGCCATATTCCAAATCACTTACATTATTTCTTCTCCAATTGCAAGCTAAATCTTTGTCAAGTTCCAATCCTACTGTAATCCGTTTTTCTCCCTTTAAAGGTCGTTTGGTTGTATGTTTACGTTCTAAACCTCTAGTGTCAACTGTTGAAATTCGTAATTCGAGAGGCTCTCCTTCTGAGGGCTTACGATCACTCCAACCAATCATTTTAGCACCACAGACTTCATCTTTACATTTAGCTTCGAATCTAAGGAAATGTTGACTATTACAAGGGTTGTACACTTTTGCCCGTTTGTATATAAAATTACAGGGTAATTTATGTACTTTTATAAACTCGTCATTTATGATATCTGTCCAGGTTCCTTGTTTTAGAATGTCGTATACTCTTTTTTTATTATTCCTTTGATAAATAACTTTCTTTGGATAAAACTGTCTATACATATCATATGGAATATCAAGTTTAAAAATCTTCTTACTTGGTTCGTGATATGATGACGAAGAAAACTCGTCGTCAGAATCGTTTGATTCCGTAGAACTAAGGTTCTTTGTAGCTGTTACATCAAAACCATTATTTTTTCTTAGTTTTGTCAAAACTTCATTACTATTTTTAAGGACTTTAATGTAAACACTCTTTGGATTTAATTTTCCTTCAAGTGCTTGAGAAATAGTGTGCCATACGGAACACGTAGAGCTGATTAATTCTCCTTTTTCGTTCAAAATGGTATACTTCGACAACAAATTGAAAAAGGCATCTGAATCTACAGCGGCCTTCCTCCCAACCTAAGAAATTATTGTATGTATAATAATAAAAAAAAAAATAGTAATAATAGCCAAATTTAAGCTGCAAATTGACTTTGCCCTACCTACTTCGGACATTTGCCAATTTTTAGCAACGTTTAGCAACGTAGGTACTTGAAAAAAATTGAAACCAGTTTTTTTGCCAACTTTATCAGAAAATAAGTTCAACTTTACCAATAT